AACTTCTCTGTGAAGTCTTCTACAGACCGTTCCCCGGACGTCAGCGGCCTTGGTGACTGAACTCCTTACACTTTGACCCCGTGACAGAGTCGGTGACTGGCTCAACCGCCACGCTTTGTCAAGTGACAGACGCGCGACGACATGCTTACATTGAGTGAGGAGGCGTTTTGAAAATGTCACCCTGCAATGGTTGAGGTCCACCCTTTAATTTCTAGTTGACAAGCACTTTGATTGAACGTTATGGTCAGATACCGTCATTACGATAAAACCTGATGCATTTCCAATACGTTCATATCTTCAGTCTCCAGTTTAATATATCTTCATCCTCATTAGATTTATGGCGGTGGGGTAGCCTAGAGGTTAAAGCGTTCGCTCGTCACGCCGAAGACGCGGGTTCGATTCCCCGGGTGAATTGCCCGGTACAATGTGTAAAGCCCATTTCTGGAGTCACTGGATTGCTTGGTCCAGACTGGAATAATTACAGACCACCGTCATACAGTTAGAATGTACTGAGTGCGAAGTTAAACAAACAAGCAAACAATTCGAAGATTCGTCACCACAGCTGCAAACTGAAGTGACGTCACCAGCTTCACTTATCACTTTCATAGAGTCGATTTTTTTTATCGCTCATGACCTAGAAATCAAAATATATTTTTTGAACGCGAATTAGGCGTACAAATCGCGGCCTCGTCCACCCAAAACCTTGGTTCGTTTATTCGAAATTGGTCGACTGCTGTTCATGCACCATAAACCTGATAGGACATTTTCTTCAACACCGAAACAAGGGGAGGGAAGTCGTTTTGCAACAAAATCATTGTATTTGAGACGGTATTGGTTATATTTGCCGCTTGTTTTAATCCTGAAAACAATAATTATTAGAAGAGCTATTTTAGGATCGTGCCATTCGACTTTGACTCAAAACAAAGGCATGGTAGCAATAGTCCTGAGATTTACCATACCAGAAATTATTGAGAATTTAAGATTGTAATTTTTTAATATTTTTTTCACTCATTACTCACGTATTAAATGTGAATATTAGCAGAACATTACTCCAGATTCAAAGACAGGTGATATAATGTCATATTTTCGGTCCGAAACCAGGCCTGTGAATGCTTTGAACGATGTTTTGGGTCGTTGTCCTGCTGGAAAATCCAAAAATTTCCATAGAACACGTGGGCAGATGGAAGTAAATGTCCCTCGAGAATATCTGTGTACCACTAACTGTTCATATTCCCTTCAAATACACAGAGGAGCGTTGCCCCTAACACAGATATGCCACCCCACACGTTAAATTTCGGACTGTACTTTGGGCGCTGATACAAAGGTTTTTCAGTTTGTTTGGTCCAGAATTTCAGAGTATTAGGAAACAGCCACACAGAACTTTCATCTGAGAAAATCACATTGTCCCAGTTAAAATTTCTATGTTGTAAGCACCAGTTCAACCTTCGCTTCTTTTGTTCAGGTTTCATGATCGGTGATGGAATTCCTCGACTTTTCTGCCAACCCATTGCATGCAGCTCAGTTCTAATTGTCTCCTTATAGACAGCCACAGTTCCTCTATCAATCATATCCAGCCTAAAGTTTTCTAACCTCCTTCGTTTGATTTTAGAAACAAGAATACCAAGCCGCCTCCTGTCACCGACAGTCAATTTTCTCGGCCAACCTGCGCCTCCCTGGTGCTCAATGCCATTTCTATTTGCAATAAGTTTCAAAACACGATAAACAGTGGACAAAGGGATGCCTGTTCTACTTGAAATCACTTTAGCTGATCTGATGTCCTTGTTGTAATACTCTAAAATCAACTTCCTCTTCTCTAAATCATCCATACTGAGGATCACTGAAAATGTCGTCTGCTAGCAATTAAACAAAGGGGGATAACTCTTCACAAACTAATGAAAAAAGATTAACGGAGTTGTCTCTCTTGAATGAAACCAAGCAATTGTTAGCTGGTAAAGGTTGTTTATACTAGAAATCCAATTAAACATATTCCTAAAATTCTCAATAATTTCTGGTCATACTATACATGACAGAAAAATCGAAGGAGATTTTTCCGCTTATGTGTATATGTCCAGAAGGAGTGTGCGCCACATACCTCATCAGACAACATGAACCCTCTTTAAGTACAGTAGATTTAATCTCAGTCTACTTTGATCACATATAAATATCTGTTTGTTTAACAAGCCCTCGCTTCCCTATTCTATTGCTGGGTGTGAGTCACAGGGCAGGCCTTCATACCTCGGCAATACTATAGGGGTACGTGCTGGAAGCACGCAATGTATTGATGGCCTGTCTGTATAGGATGACACTGCTTCAACAGGTTTCAGAGTTACAACATCGTATCTTCTGTAAAACCAAAATATGCAGGGCCAAGGTTGAGAATAGAATAGGGCATTCCTTTACACTCAAAACTGATATTTCTTGTTACATGCGCAAATGGTAGCTCGAGACAAACACTGTTGTGCAAAAATAGTTGTAGGTCTAGAGGACGTGTTGCAGGTGCGAGTGACAGCATGAGACAGACACTGTAATACAACAGAAGTTGTAGGTCTAGAGGGCATATTGCAGGTGCGTAACAACACGAGACAAGCACTGCAATACAACAGCAGTTGTAGCAGTTGTAGTACTAGGGACATAGTACAGGTGCGAATGATAGTAAGAGACAGACACTGCTCTACAACAGCAGTTGTAGTACTAGAGGACATAATGCAGGTGCGTATGATAGTAAGAGACAGACACTGCTCTACAACAGCAGTTGTAGTACTAGAGGACATAGTACAGGTGCGAATGATAGTAAGAGACAGACACTGCTATACAACAGCAGTTGTAGTACTAGAGGACATAGTACAGGTGCGAATGATAGTAAGAGACAGACACTGCTCTACAACAGCAGTTGTAGTACTAGAGGACATAATACAGGTGCGCAGTGATAGTAAGAGAGAAGAGACACTGCTCTACAACAGCAGTTGTAGTACTAGAGGACATAATACAGGTGCGAATGATAGTAAGAGACAGACACTGCTCTACAACAGCAGTTGTAGTACTAGAGGACATAATACAGGTGCGAATGATAGTAAGAGACAGACACTGCTATACAACAGCAGTTGTAGGTCTAGAGGACATAATACAGGTGCGAATGATAGTAAGAGACAGACACTGCTATACAACAGCAGTTGTAGGTCTATACAACAGAGTTGTACATAATACAGGTGCGAATGATAGTAAGAGACAGACACTGCTATACAACAGCAGTTGTAGTAGAGGACATAATACAGGTGCGAATGATAGTAAGAGACAGACACTATACAACAGCAGGTGAGGACGTAGGTGATAGTAAGAGACAGACACTGCTCTACAACAGCAGTTGTAGTACTTAGAGGACATAATACAGGTGCGAATGATAGTAAGAGACAGACACTGCTACAACACAACTAGCAGTGCGAATGATAGTAGAGACAGAGCTATACAACAGCAGTTGTATAATACATAATACAGGTGCGAATGATAGTAAGAGACAGACACTGCTCTACAACAGCAGTTGTAGTACTAGAGGACATAATACAGGTGTGAATGATAGTAAGAGACAGACACTGCTATACAACAGCAGTTGTAGGTCTAGAGGACATAATACAGGTGCGAATGATAGTAAGAGACAGACACTGCTATACAACAGCAGTTGTAGGTCTAGAGGACATAATACAGGTGTGAATGATAGTAAGAGACAGACACTGCTCTACAACAGCAGTTGTAGTACAAGAGGACATAATACAGGTGCGAATGATAGTAAGAGACAGACACTGCTCTACAACAGCAGTTGTAGTACTAGAGGAGGACATAATACAGGTGTGAATGATAGTAAGAAGAGACAGACACTGCTATACAACAGCAGTTGTAGGTCTAGAGGACATAATACAGGTGCGAATGATAGTAAGAGACAGACACTGCTCTACAACAGCAGTTGTAGTACAAGAGGACATAATACAGGTGCGAATGATAGTAAGAGACAGACACTGCTCTACAACAGCAGTTGTAGTACTAGAGGACATAATACAGGTGTGAATGATAGTAAGAGACAGACACTGCTATACAACAGCAGTTGTAGTACTAGAGGACATAATACAGGTGCGAATGATAGTAAGAGACAGACACTGCTCTACAACAGCAGTTGTAGTACTAGAGGACATAATACAGGTGCGAATGATAGTAAGAGACAGACACTGCTATACAACAGCAGTTGTAGTACTAGAGGACATAATACAGGTGCGAATGATAGTAAGAGACAGACACTGCTCTACAACAGCAGTTGTAGTACTAGAGGACATAATACAGGTGCGAATGATAGTAAGAGACAGACACTGCTATACAACAGCAGTTGTAGTACTAGAGGACATAATACAGGTGCGAATGATAGTAAGAGACAGACACTGCTATACAACAGCAGTTGTAGGTCTAGAGTGCAGGTGCGAATGATAGTAAGAGACAGACACTGCTATACAACAGCAGTTGTAGGTCTAGAGTGCAGGTGCGAGTGACAGCATGAGACAGACACTGCACGTACGTGCACATTCATGACTATAAATGTAATTTGTTAGCACGTTATCCCATGGCAGTAAGGTAGGAATGGGGTGTTGTAGGAAAAACACACAGGTTGTAAATACGTTAACAAGGACATTGAGCGAGCGAGTAGGTTTGTTTTAACGCGTCTATGAACATGGTGGTAAATTACCGTGGTGATACAGGCTTCTGACGCTAATGACTTTGGTGAAACCCACAATCACGGGTATTGCACTTACAAACACAGATACATAACGAAGGTCAATGTATTCAAAACAAAAGAAGTAAAGGACTCTTGCATCCTTAATGATAGTCACATTCCCCAACTGAGCATCGGGCCCTTGACAACATCAACGACAGTACACAATGAAACATGCAGTCGTTAGGAGATCAACTATGTATGATACACATGATGGCCCGTTTCAGTGACGTGCTTATGTCTGTTCCAGTCAGAGCCTGTCAGCAACATTGGCGGAGTGACGAGGTGAGAGCAGACGACGCCAATGACCCTGGCAGTGTGAGGACCTAACCTCGAAAATGATGTCAACCGGAAGTGTTTGGTCCATGACCTTGGTGGTGTTGGTTGCGCTGTGCTTGGTGTCGCACGTCACGGTAAGGACTGACAGTAAACTAGGATCATTCTGAACTGATATAAATGTGCATGGATCCGTAATATTGACCTCACCCCGGTGAGTCAGAGATGTCTCCGCATTTGCGATCCTTTTCCACGTCAGTTAAAATGTACATTCTCTTTTAGAACAGGTAGCTCTGATTAGTACATTAGACTGACGATTTGTACATAATGTTGATAGAGACAAACGGCTCCATTGAAATTGAGAAGGGCCACCAGTGAGATGGGAGTTTGGAACATCTGGAATTGCTTCATTTTGTGCTTTAACATTAAAGTCAGTTCCACGCGAGTGACCAAAGCAACCCACACGAGTTGCATCATTGGTTGCTCAGGCGTGACTTTAAGGCAGTAGTGTAAGGGCTGAGCGGAAGGGAAAATTATGGATTGGGGTCTGTGGGACATACTACTTAATCAAGTGCAGTTGCAAACTTCTGCTGTATCGCCAATGGGACGGTGGGGTAGGGTAGCCTAGTGGTTACAGCGTCCGCTCGTCACGCCGATGACCCAGGTTCGATTACCCACATGGGTACAATGCCATTTCTGGTGTCCCCCGCCGTGATATTGCTGGAATATTGCTAAAAGCGGCGTAACCTAAACTTCACTCACTCATTGTACCACCATTGAGGAGAGTATTGCCTGATATGCTGTTGATGAGTTGTTTTTGCACATCACGGTTCTCGGGGAATGTTACATCACGATCACTTCACAGACATACTTGCAAAATCAGGCTGAGTCGCATACCTAAACGCGTTATGTCATCCACCTACTTATGTTGTTTGAAATCGGAATAAATATTGCAAGTCATGTACGACATTACGAACGTAACGACCTTCGTCGGCATCATTGACGGAAGTGCTACGCGACAACCGTATAGAATCACCTGTATACAGGTGTGTCAATTTTTGTGCCAGTACTCAGGGAACGCACACGTGACTGGGTGTCGTACCTGTATACAGATGTGTCGATCTTTGTGGCAGTGCACAGGGAACGCACACGTGACAGGGTGTCTTACCTGTATACAGATGTGTCGATCTTCGTGCCAGTGCACAGGGAATGCACAGGTGACAGGATGTCCTACCTGTATACAGATGTGTCGACCATTGTGTCAGTGCACTGGGAACGCACACGTGACTGGGTATCTCACCTGTATACAGTTACGTCGATCTTAACAGCAGTACACAGGGAACGCACACGTGACAGGGTATCTCACCCGTGTACAGATGTCTCAATCACAGGGCCGCCACTTCCGCCACGTGGTGCGGTATGTGACGAAGTCTCAGCACGGTGACACAACGGTAAATGCGGGATAGTAAATTGGTCTCCTTGTCTGACGACCAGCTACAGGAAATAACTCAGTGACATCAAATGTGAAAATGAAGTGGGGTCGCATTCACAAAGCAGCGGGTACCATTATAAAGCGTGACGGAGATATGAAGATAACCATATTTATAATTATCAAAGTGTTTCCGGATCCGGTGACCAGATGAAACAATTAAGTAAACGTCCATTGACTAGTAAATATCATCATCTTCCTCCTCCTCCTGCTCATCATCCTCATCATCATCATCCCTTCATTTGTTTCACGAACTGTCTCTACGCCACGCGAACCTGAATACCCCAGTACACCTGTAACATATTTCTGTCCCTCAATGTACACCTGTAACATATTTCTGTCCCTCAATGTCAAAAGTCCAACCCCAAGATAATCCACCCGACCACACCAGCAGCCATTAGAACCCTTCCATACCCGAAATCTCTGTTCACAAAAACCCAGCACCGTACAATTACAGCACCGAGAGTTTGCTTGACGATCAAACAAACGACCGAATGATTTACGGTTTATTGCGACGACATCTGAATGCACGGGTCTCGGGTTTGTTATAATATCTGCTGTAAAGTAGCAGGGAGGGATGGCTAAAATGGCGACTGATGCATACGTACGTTCCACATTACGCTGTGAGATATCGGGGACACAAAGACCGAGGGGTATCTGTATTGTACCCCCCAACTCCGACCCGGAGATAAAAGAACCTGTCGCTATAGTGTGGGTGATCTGTGACAAATCAGTTAAGAGAAGCGCCATGAATCACCAATGATTACATTGCTACGGTCTCGCGAACTCAAGCAACGTGTTAAATCACTGTATCGTCTCACGCACCAATAACACTGAAAGCTCTCTTTCCTAACTTGTAATAGGTGTCTTTTAGTGGTGAATATGCCCACACTGTGAAGGTTGTATCTCAGTGTATTCACGCCGAGGCTTGTACGGCATTATTAACAAGTAGTTAATATGAGCTTGATAATCCACAAACCCAGGCTCCGTTCCACAAAGCGATCTTGGTGCTAGGACGATCGTAAGACTATGTTAAAGTGCATATGGTTTTACGCCGTATTTAGCAGTATTCCAGCAATATCACGGCGTGGGACACCAGATATGGGCTTCACACATTGTACCCATGTGACATGGGGAATTGAACCCGGATCTTCAGCGTGATGAGCGGACGTTTTAACCATTAGGCTACCCCCACAGCCCCTTTATGTTAAAGAATGGGATTTAGGATCACCTTAGCACCAAGAATGCTTTGTGGAACCGGGCCCTGGGCGTATACTACTGGTCGTGTCTGTATTAGGAATACCCATGTGAAACTACAGTGATCTCCTGTTATAACGAACTCAAAGGGACCACCGATATTGGTTCGTTATAACCGTAGTTCGTAATATGAATTTTGAGTAAAATACAGTCGTGACCACAAAACAGATCTTTATAGCTATCAGTGTGTTACAAACGTTTTAAAAGTATTTACTACGTATCAGAAAAATATGTAAATAACACTGTGATAACCAATCGCGGCTGAACACGGTCGGGTTTTGTCTTACCCTGGACCACAAACTCCAAGCCTCCCCAGTTACACAGGCTACAGTTAAAGAGTATCCGTGAAGACCCAGGTTAGAATTGGTCTTCAGTAACCCACGCTTGTCGTAAGAGGCGACTTACGGGATCGGGTGGTCAGGCTTGCTGACTTGATTGACACATATCATCGTATTCCAGTTGCGTACATCGATGCTCATGATGTTGATCACTGGATTGCCTGGTCCAGACTCGATTATTTACAGACCGCTGCCATGTAGCTGGAATACTGCTGAGTGCGGCGTTAAACAACAACCGAACCATACAGTTAAGTGTAGTCTATCCGTCCCTGAACAAATATTTTAGTTAATCCCATCCTTTAGTTATTGTTATAAATCTGAATGAAGTAATTTTAAGTCTAGATTGCAAGGTTCAAGAAGCCGCTCCCATATCCTAGTGGCGTATTCCCAGGTGAAATGTATTGCTTGTCTGTGTCCATTGTCATAGACTAAGTGTTAGTTACAGTAGTCTCTGGGTTGTTTAATACACCAGTATGGTGCTACATGTATACCCTCACCTGACCATGTAGCCTTGTACTGAAGGCAAGTCTAGATAAACCGACAGCACGGGAAGATAGTATGTTAGAGGAATATTTCTATTTTTTAGAAATTATTATTTAAACTATTAATTATTACCGTAGAGACTTTGCAAGTCTACTGACCATGCTACGGTATATAGTATGATATATCGTGACTCTGATGTCAGTCACGTTGTAGGCTAACTGTCTTGTCTCGCGCGACCTCGTCCCAAATCCCTTTTATTCAACAGTTCTTAATGAGGGCAAAAACATCACATTAAGGAGAATTTGCATGTTAGTGCCCTCGGGAAGAATGTCGGAGCTACCTGAAGTGACAGATGTAAGAGGCTCGAGAAGCAACATGATAGTGTTACCAATTAGATACTGTACCCTGTAGTATATGTTGCTTACAGCAGCACGCGTTAATAGGTGAAAGAACATATAACTTATAGCGCAGTAAACAGCAACATCATCGTCTCATCTTCAACATCATCCTCCCGCTTTTGTGCCCACATCATCAACGGGGCACCTGACACCCGTTGGTCATTGAATAAAAAACACTTCTGATTAATGGGTTAACGAGGCTAATTCAGCGCACTGGTAGGTGGTAATTTGAGAGATTATGTACATGACTGGTCTCGGTCAGCAAGAAGGGAAGACCTATCTGGTTACTGGGGTGCTGCTGCTTTAGCCTCTCAGCCCATGTAGCGCCATCACCACGAGACGAACGCTTGGTCTATGAATCTATGTAAGTTTGATAGAAACAAACGATTACTTTTAACTTGAAAAGGAGCCCCAGTGGGAAGGAAACCTGAAGAAATCTAGACTTGCTTCATTTAGGGATTTATGGTTACAGAGAGGGCTAGGCGAAATTGAAAATGTGGTTCAGGGACTGTGAGACAGGCCGCTGCTGCTGTAGCCTCTGAGCCCATGTAGCACCTCCACCACGCGTCCATCACAACAGCACTCACATCTACTTTTTAAAATATTGACGGTGTTTGTTTTCTTTTTTTTGGAAAATGATCCCAGAGGACCAAGTGTATGCTTTCTTTGGTCACCTAAGTATGCCGTTGGCACTACAGACATTGTAGCTTTGAAAGTGTTTAAAGCTTTCGTCACGGATTCGACTTCGTAGATGAATGTGATAATGTACAACCACTTCTTGTTTCTCTTGTTGGAGCATTGCTAAAGCAGGGTAACACAACACTCAAGCACAACATAACTTAAACATGAGAGCACAACCGACGGTAATTCTTGAACCTACAGGCATTCCGGCCGGAGAAAGAAAACTACTCCATGGCTAAAAGGACTCTTGTCTCTTTGTTGCTGAAATAAAAACTGACGACTTCAACCTTGACCTTTTCTGTCACTTGAAAATATCAAGGTTATATTTTTTGTTAGTGTATGTTGTGGGATACACATTAGTGATTCGAAAACAATTATTGCTTTCGTTTCTTTTACAATTTGTTCCAGGTTGTGTCAGTTTTAGTCTTAGATTGACTGGACTACGGCGTGAATCGATTCCAGCTTTTACACACTATATCCATGACGACGAA